CGTGAGCTGTGAGAGCTGAGTGTGAGCTGTGAGCTGTGAGTGTGAGCTGTGTGAGCTGTGTGAGCTGTGAGTGAGTGTGAGCTGTGTGTGTGTGCTATGTGTGAGCTGTGTGGGTGAGCTGTGCATGTGAGCTGTGTGTATGCTGTGGATGTGAGCTGTGAGTGTGAGCTGTGCGTATGCTGTGAGTGTGAGCTGTGAGTGTGAGCTGTGAGTGTGAGCTGGGGGGGGGTGAGATCCTGCACTCAGGCACAAGTTTGGACGTGGTGCTGAGGATACCCGTGGGCAGTGTCAAGAGAAGGCTCAGCCCAGTCCCACCTGGGAGGCAGCAGGACACAGTGAGGAGGTCTGGCCACACAGACCCAGCGAAGTCAGGGACCCAGCACACGGGTGCACTCACACCCCTTACATACATATAGAAACACCCCAAACGGAGGTCCTTACAGAAATAGCAAAGCTCGGGAAGAAAAGTGCCCAGCACACACAGACCCCGCCCTGCGGCGGAGCCCGCAGGACACACACACACCAGTTGGGGTGGGGGACATTCCCCTACTTTCCTTCTGGGTTCCTGGCGCTCTAGTCACTAAATGGACGTAAGGCGTTAACAGGGAAAACACATTGAATTGTGTTCGTACCAGAAGGGCCCAGGTCGCCTGAGACTCACAGGTGGGAGGGACTGGGTTCTGTGCCTCCTGAGGAGTGTGTGTGCGTGTGTGTGCGTGCGTGTGTGTGCGTGCGTGTGTGTGTGTGCGCGCGCGCGTGTGTGTGCGTGTGTGTGCGTGTGCACGCGTGTGTGTGGGGCTGGAGCAAGAAGAGGAAATAGAGTCCTGCGGCCCCTCAGACCTGCGTCCCCAGGGCGCCGGCGTGGCCAGGGCAAACCTACCCGGGGTCCAGTCAGCCGGTTCCGGGAGCCGGGGTGGGGACGGGAAAGAGGGCAGGAAACCGGGGAGTCCGCCGCGAGAGGGAGAGGGGCGGGGCAGAAACAGGAGTTACCATGCCGCCGAGCACTTCGTCCTGGTCGTCCGTGAGCACCAGCACCACGTTGGGCCTCCGAGAGCCCGCCGCTCCCAGATTTGCCCCTTGTGTGAATCAGATGACAGAATTCACGCGAACATTTTAAATTGCGAGGCGTCATGCAAAGCGTGTGGTAATGTGGTACCTCACGACGCATCAGCATGTTCTCACAACTGCCTTAGAGACAGCTGCTCATGGACAAGAACGAATACCTCTGACACTGATGGTGCCAGCACCCTGTTAAAGGCAGCACTGAGAGTGCTGAGCTGGTGTCGGGGCGCCTGCTGAGGCCTGGCCTGACTCCTGGGTCCTGAGAATGGACGACAGTGTAAGGGGGACCCACAAAGCTGGTGTCTAGGCATCAGCCCGGCAAGGCCTCCTGGAGAGTGGCAGGTGTGGTGGCCTGGAACTGTGGGTGGAAGAGGACTGTGGGGACGAGAGTGGAGCCAGCCCTGAGCTGGAAGAGTACAGGATGTGTGTGGGGAGCCACAAAGAAAGCAATCCCGGAGGAAGTCCCGAAAAGGAGTGGTGGGAGTCTCAGGGCTGGGAGGGAGCTGGGCAGAGGGCCAGCTTAGCCGTGGCCAGGAACCTGGGTGTGGCCACCTGTGGTGCCTGTGGGGCAGGGGTGATAGAACAGGAGGACAGGTCAGGCTGGGAATGGAGCGGGGTGAGGAGGGGCCCTGGATGAGGAGACACTGAGGCAGGGGCAGGAGCTGGTGAAGGGGTGCAGGGAGCGGGTAACAAGGACTTGAAAGGGGCCATGGCAGAGGGACCAAGAGGAGGGGTGGCTGCAAGGGACATTCTTAGTATGAAGTCACCAGCATTTTAACAGTCAGATGGTCTCACTGGTGTCAGGGAGCATGGACAGTGGGGGTGCTGCCAGCGGAGAAGGAAGGGAGCAGAGCTGACCCCAGGGGGCTGAGGTGCGTGAGCTCAGGTCTTTCCGGCAGATCCCAGGGTGCCGGTGCCTGGGGAGCACACGCCTGGCCCTCCCATTGGAGACGTGTCACACATGTCTTTGCTTCTGCCGTGGAACCCAGCACCCCAGTGCCTTGCACATAGTAGTTGCTCAATAATCTTCATAAATGAACATGAAAATGCAGAACTGTAGATGTGCACACTGGCTGGGCCACCTCAAGCTTCTGAGACATGGAAACCTTCCTTCAAGCTCCACATACAAAACTGATAGCATTTTTAGAAAAGCTGGTGTGTAGTTTCCCCCACGTCCCGCCTGGCTCAGGGCTCAGGATCTGGAAGAGGGCCGCACGCAAATGAAAGAGAAGAGACAAGAGATAATTTGGAAATACTGGGGGGCCAGGCGGGCAGGTCCAACTCAAGGGGAAGGACTTCCACTGGTGCTCAGGCCTCGCCAGCCTTTTATTGGTTTGGGATCCACTCATAGCCCTTAGGCAGGCAGCTTCCAGTAACAGACAGACTAGCCCACCAGCAAGGATTTACATAATAGTAAATGGGGAAGTTGCTTCAGCTGCCACGGTCTGGACCAGTGGGTGCACAGCTCTGACCTTTGCCAGGAAGGTTCGCCGTCACTGGTCTGGACTAGCAGTGGGTGCACAGCCCTGACCATTGCCAGAGCTCAAGGGTCGCCAGCCTTCCGGGATCCTTGTCCACACCTCTCTGCTAGTGAAGACAACGGGTGGCTTCCCATAAGATGGGACAATTCTTACACTGACACCAAACCAGGACACCCGAGGGCATTTCTCAGCCAGGACAAGGGGACAGCCGCACAGCTGGGCCGGAACCGAGGCGCCATGGCTGTGCGCACAGCGGCTTCCTGGGGCTATGGTGACGTGCTTTATGCCCTCTACTGTCTGAACACACGGGACACCTCTGCAAAGACACAGCCTTCCCCACACCTGCCGTCCCCCTGCCGTCAGCCTGACATGTAACCCAGCACAGTGAGCCTGCACACCCCCTAAACCCTCATTCCAGGCAGCCTGCCCACCGCCTCACACCCAGTTCCGTGCATGGCTGCCGACGTGTGGACCGGCCCACATGCTCACAGCTGTAAGCTGGGGGTGGAAGGGGGGGTGTCGTCCCCGA